TCTCTGAAATAATTGTGTTTGAAGTAAAGAGACAACTGCAGCAAGGTATAGAGGACATCAGATCAGAAATAATTTCTGAAGTAAAAAAAGAAATGATAACTATAATGAAAGAAGTACTAAGTGTTTCTAAAGAAGACACTGATAAAACAAATAGAGGAGAATATAAAAATGATGGAATCTTTGAATGAGCAATATAGGAAAGAAATAGAAAGCATGAAGCAGATTCAAAATGATATGCAGGAAATTAAAACCTCAATCACAAGCTGGCTAAACTGTTTGAATGAAAGTGAAAATAGACTTTCAGACCTTAAAGACATCATTGCAGCTAATGAAAAGGTAAGAAAAGATCTCTTAAAAAAACTAGGATGCAGAAAAAAATAATTCAACATCTGCAAGACAATGCAAAGATGAACAACGTAAGACTAATAGGCATCAATGAGAAAGAAGGAGTCAATACAAATGATATAAAAAGAATAAGGGCAGAAGTAATGGCAGAAAACTTCCCAATTATGGGGAAACAATCCGACATTCAGGTAACCAAAGTATATAGAACTCCAAATGACATCAACCCAATTAGAACCACACCCAAGGCAGGGGAGATGGCTCAGTGGAATAAGCACTTCCCTGGCAACCACAAGGGCCTGAGTTCAATCCCTGGTTCTGCAAAAACAAAAACAGAAAACCAGCAAAAAACAAAAAACACCACACCCAGACATATAATAATCAGGATCCCAGAAATTCAGCACAGGAACAGTATACTAAAAGCCGCTAGAGAAAAGAAATATCACATTTAAAGGAAAACCCATCAGAATAACAGCAGATTTCTCTTCATAAAGCATCAAGTCAAGAAGAGCATGGAGCAAAGTACTATAAATCTTGCAAGAAAACAAATTCCAATCCAGACTGTTACTCTGCAAAACTCTTTCAAGTTTAGTGGAGAAGTGAAATACTTCCATAACAAAAGAACAGCTAAAGAATTTCATAAGAACAAAGCCAACCCTACACAGACTACCAAAAGATATTCTAAAAAAAAAAAAAAATATATATATTCTAGGGCTGGGGAGATAGCTCAGTAGAATAAGCGCCTGCCTGGCAAGCACAGGGTCCTGAGTTCAATCCCCAGTACCACAAGAAAAATAAATTAAAAAAAATAAAAAATGAAAGATATTCTAGAGAGGGGTCAAAATGTCCACCACTCCATGAATGAGAAAAACCCACCAAATAGGGCAAACGTTTAGACACAGGAGAAAAAGAGGTATACAATAGCAGTCTTTCAATTATTCTTTTGTATATAGCAGCAAAATATTTCCATCAGCATACTCTGCAAATGGACTTCTGTACCCTATGGGTCACGATTCTGTCTAGGTCAGCAGGGTGAATATCAAGGAAATAGCAGTAGCTTAGTCTCACAAGTGACACCTGACCACCAGTAAGCATCATGGACATTGTACATGTCTACCACATAGTAGAACTTGGTGCGATATCCTATCCCCAAACTGTTAGAAGCGCTGGTCATATATTTGCCATTCCAGTACTTTTGTTATGTTTTATTCTTTTCTTTTTTTTTTTTTGGTGAAACCGGGGCTTGAACTCAGGCCCTTGCACTTGCCAGGGAAGCGCTTATTCCACTGAGCCATCTCCCCGGCCCCTATGTTTTATTCTTAGTAATTCTTTACTATCATGAAAGCTTTTTCTTGGTTGATATTTTTGTATATATTAACCTAATCAAATACTGTCTGAGTACTATAAATTGGTCACAGATTTGTACATATGATACACTACATTCTGGCCTCTTAGTTGGACTCAATTTATTTCTGAATATTACTTTGAAATATTTATTTTTGAATTAATATTTAATTAATTTTCCGAATTTTTAATTTTAATTTTTGTTTTATGATTTATACTGTTTCTTTGACTTACAATCTACTTATAAGACATGGTATATTTTCTCCTAGTATTGGAAATTTTAAAAAGTGTATTTTTATTTTCCATTGACCTTATGTTAGTTCTTCCTTGTCTTTTACACAGACATATATACATGTATGAAAAAATATGTATATAACCTGACATAAGATTGATGCTGTTTTGTGGAAATCTTCAATGACCTTTTAAATGGGTTTGTCTAATATAGTTATATTTTACATAGTCCTGCATAACTACCATTTTGAGAGCTCTTTATTCTTTATTCAAGATCATACAGCAACTTCTCTTACCTTTTAGATTATGGTCTTTGTTATTTTCTATATGTTACATCTGGAGGTATTAGAATATTTGAATTTGTATAACTGGAAAATATTTTCTTTTAGTTTTCAAAGGTATGTTTGCTAAATATAAAATTCAATGAGGACAGAGGTTTGTTTGTTTTTTCTTTCGGTCCTTTGAATAAATAAGTCTAGTTTCTTACCCACTTGATCTTTTTTTTCAAATATGGAATAAGATGCTATTTAAATTTGTTATTCCATAGCTCATATTTTTTTCTATGTATATGCTTTAATGATTTTTTTTTCATTACAATTAGTTTTGGACATTTTCAGTTTTGTGTATCTTGGTATGATTTTATTCATATTTCCTGTGCAAAAGAAAATTTTCTTGGAAATATGGTGCTATAATTTTAACTAAATTCAGAAATTTTAAATATTTATGTATTGCCTACCCCCTTATACTTTGAGAATTCTAACTATATGAATATAAGTTTCTTGATTTTTGCACAGAGAGAACTATTATTTGACTGATCTGTAAACTCTTCTTCATGTTTATGTTAGACATTTTTTATTGTTATATTCATTTAAGTTTGTAAATTTTTTTACAGTGTGCAGTCTATTACTAAATCTCATGTTATTTTTTTTTTTTTAATTTTATTTTACGGCAGGGTCTACAGGGTCTTACTACTAGATTGGACTCATAGTGATTCTTCTGTTTACAGCCTCCCGAGAGTAGGATGACAGGAGTGCATCACCATGCCCAGTCTCAATTGCCAACTCAGCAGGGTGCCCCGGGGGTGGGGGGTGGGGGTGGAGGGAGGGGCAGGGCCAGCACAGCAGGCCTGGGGATTGAACTCCTGGGCCCCTGTGTCTGCCTAAGTAGATGCTTTAATCCGCTGAGCTATTTGGCTGGCCCTAAATCTCATGTTATGTATTCATTTCAGAAATATTTTTCTAAAATTCACTCTGTCTACATCTTATGTCTTTCACATTTCAATATTTGTCGACAGTTTTTAACTTGCTATATAATTACTATGGATTTTTGATGAAGTTAATGAGTACAAAAAAAGAAAAAAAGAGTCTGCTGCAAATATCTGCTAGTTTAGACAGTTCCAAAGCCTGAGTACATAGCATCACTTCAGAAAGCAAATGTTTCTTTTCATCTCTTCAGACTTCCCCTCCTCCCTCCTGCATGTATGCTGGAAGAAGACCCCATCCAAGGAAATGAGATTTTTTGGGGGGAGTGTGCTTCTTAAATTTTATATCAAACTACCATATCAAATATGCATATAGAAAAATGCACAGATCTTAATTTTTTTAAATTGTTAATTGAGGAATTTCCACAATGTGAACAAACATACTGGCATCCAAATTAGAACCTTACCGGAGTCTCAGAAACGTCTGAGCAGGGCCCAGGAGATAGCTCAGTAGAATAAGCACTTCCCTGACAAGCACAAGGGCCTGAGTTCAATCCCTGGTTCTGAAAAAAGTCTGTGACGCCATTCTAATCCCTAAAAGCCCACTTCTCCAGGATAATAATGATTAGAGAAAAGATTTTTTATTTTGTAATTATAAAAACAACTTTATTTTTTGTCTGCCACTTTTTTTTTTTTTTTGCGGAACCGGGGATTGAACTCAGGCCCTTGTGCTTGCCAGGGAAGTACTTAATCTACTGAGCCATCTCTCCAGCCCCTGTCTGCCACTTTTTTAAAAAAAATTTAGTTGAAATAATCTCAAAGCCATAGAAAACGATACAATGCAGAGAACTTTCCCATCAACTTTATTTATTTATTGTATTTTAGGACAGGGTCTACAGGGTCTCCCTATGTAGATGGGACCTAGGGATTTTCCTGTTTTCAGCCTCCCAAGCACTGGTATTATAGGCATGTGCCACCACGCCCAGTCTCAATCTCTGTCTCAGTGCACACCAGCACCAGCGTGGCATGCAGGGAATCGAACCCCAGCTGTTGCACTTTGCCTAAGCAGGTGCTTTAGTCCGCTGAGCTGACTGGCCCTTCCCATCAGCTTAAAATGGTAGTTTCACCTGGAAAGGAATACAGGGAAGTGAGTTTGGCAGAGTATAAAAAATTTAAATTTTATGGTATTTTATTATGGGAACTATGTAAAATATCAGCCATTTTATTGTAAGAAGTAATTACTCCGAAATTTTTAAATTCTTGTTTTTCTTTTGGAACCAGGATTTCACTGTGCAGTTCAGGCAGGCCTTGAACTCACTTTATAGCCCAGGCTAGCCTCAAGCTTGCAGGAATCTTCCTGCTTCATCTTCCTGAGTGCTGGAATTACAGGCATGTACCATCATGCTCAGCTCAATTCTTTCCAAAAAAAAAAAGTGGGGTGTTGAATTTTCTCCTCTAAGATGTGGGGAACTATTGAAGTGTGTTTTTATTGTTGAAATAAATATGTCTTTATGACTTTGCTCTCTGTCTGTACCTATGAATTAAGAGACTCTTAAGTGAGCTATAAGGTTGATTCACCTTAGCATCATTTTTCTTTTCTTCTTTTCCTTATTACCTCTCACTGCTAAGTGCCCAGTGGTATCTGACATAGTAAGATTAAAACTTGCACTTTTCCTGATAGAAGCAACTCTCTTCCTGATTTGCAGTAAGCAGGGCCTGCTTTTAATCAATTACCCATCATTTGGGGCCATCAGACACTGTGCTTTGGTTCAGGTTATAATCAATAATTTATATGTCAATGGGAGCCCCATTAGCTCAGGTGAAGGCAGATATCTTTCTAATGAAAATGTTCCATTTTCCAAATGACTTTTCTTTTTCTCAGAGAGTTGTGGTCATAGAAGACATAAAAAGATGGAAATCCATGTTGGAGCTTCCTGATCAAACCAAAGAGAATCTAGTTCAAGCCTTACGAGAATTGAAGAAGAAAATACCCTCCAGGGAAGTGTTAAAATCAACAAGGATAGGTATGTTCCTTCTGAAGTTTGTGAAAAGTACTTCCGTGTTGTCTTCTTTCATTCTACTTTCAAATAATAAGTTGTCTGCCCTGTGATTTTCAGATTATTTCTGAGAAAGGACCTTTGTTTAAAAAAATTCTCCAGTGGTTGTACAGAAAGTGGAATTAAAATATATACGGCATAAAAAGTATATAAGGGGGCCAGGGAGATGGCTCAGTAGAGTAAGCTCTTGCCTGGCAAGTGCAAGGGCCTGAGTTCAATCCCTGGTTCCACAAAAAAAAAAAAAAAAAAAAAAAAGTATATAGGATGCAAGATCCACTTTGTTGTTGTTTTTATTGTTGTTGTTTTTAGACAGGGTCTTGCTATGTAGTTCAGCTGGCTTTGAGCTCCTGATGGTGCCTCTGCCTCAGCCTCCTGAGTGCTGGGATTAGAGGTGTTCAGAACCTCACCTGTCAAAGAACCACTTCTTAGTTTAGTTTCAGCAGGTATAGAATTGTCAAATTGCTGTAAGTTTCTAAATGCCTATCTTCTATACTGGTAACTGGCAACAAGTACCATTTTGAGTGTACTTTATGCTGGGTGTGCAGAAATGAGGAAGTCTTGGTTTATAGCCTCAAGGAACTTGGGGCTTGGTAGGAAATACAAACAGGCAGGCAATGAAAAGAGTGGAATATTATGGGTTATAAATAAACAGATGTAACTGGCTCCTGTTCTGATCTAGACTAGGTATATACTGGAACAAAGGAGAGACAGCAGTCACCTAGACCTGGTTAATTAAAAAAAAAAAAAAAAAAAAAAAAAAAAGCTTTAAAGGGGAGGTGACATTTTAGTTATATCTTAAAGTTGGCTTTTCTGTTCTGGGTAGAAATAATTTACAGGACCTGGTTTATAAAACAAAACGATAGCAACATTTGTCTTTGTATCATTTAGTATAGCTCTAGAGATATCTCAAAGGTAAGAAGGGCTCTGTTGAATACAGTGCACAACTGTGGGTAATATGCAAGGGAAGGACAACATGTGCTCCTCAAGCTGCGCCCAGCTCCCCAGGGAAGTGGGGCGGTTACTCCCAGCTGCCGTTCTTGCCCTTGCTACTGCAGTCATTGCCACTTCTGCCTCCCCTTGACCTCTTGTTCTTGAGACGCAGGAGAGAGAGCCCCTTCTGACTGGCGTTAACAGCTGGGAAGAGATGTGTGAAATCCCCAGAGGGCCCCCAAGAGTTTTAGAGTTGTACCCCTGTAATATAAACCAGAATCTGAGAAAATTAGATGCTTAAAGAACATAAAGCCCCATCATTGTAGCCAAGGAGATTCTCCCATCTGTTGCTAGATTTTCTGTCTTTATAGGTTGTGGTCACTAGAGGGCAATAAGTCCATTCATATGAGCAGATAAGCTATTTCTGCCAGTAGAGGGTACTAGTGATTAATATTTGATGACATGTATTTATGTACATATGTGCATGTACATGTTCTTATTTAGGCATATGCCACAAATACCATATATGATCAGATCTTAAATGTCAACATAGTAAGCTGGAATTGTTCTACAAACATAGGCAGTAATTTTTTAAAAAATAATTTCTGTTTGGCATTTTAGTACACTTGTGATGAGTATGCTTTCAAGATTGGGTATGTCTGATGTATGAAGATTTTAGTTTGAACAACTTAATAAACTAAAATAAGGCTTGACTTAGGTGGGGCTGGAAACCGTTAACTTTTGAACCTGGGTCCCAAACCTTTCCTTCATTTAGGGTATATGGAATGCTGTGTAGGAATTTCTTGGTTCTTTAAAAATTATGTCATCTGCAGTGCTGAAGATTTCACTTGAATCATTGCATGAGAATATGTATATTCACCAAGCATCAGTCTTCCTGCTGATTTTTTGGGGTTTTTTTGGGGGGGGTGGGGAAGGGAGACCGCACACTTGCGAGGCAGATGCTGTGCCACTGAGCTAAATCCCTGGCCCCATCTTGTGACTGTTAAGGGACAGGTATGTACTGAGTACAGTCTTTGTCCTGGCAACTATGTCAGCATAGAAATGGGAGAGGTATTGTCCCTTTCTTTTTGGAGTTTGAGATCTAGTGAGAAGACAAACAATTTAACAACAGTGCCATACCTTGTGATGAGTGTTCTGCTTGTGGGAACAGTGAGTCGAGTGTGTATAATTGTTGGGAGAAAGGAGAAGGTGTTGAAGAATGTGTCAGGCAGGAAGTACATCTTGTAAGCTGTACAGAAGGTGGAGGTGGAAGAGAACATGGTGCATTCAGAAACTCAGAGAAGTTTGTGTGCTCAAAATGCAATATGCTAGCAAGGATGTGGCAAGAAGTGAGCCTGGAGGCTAGGCCAGATGGAGAAGGCTCTGCGAACCATTCAAAATTGGTCTTGGCAGTGTATTAGTTATTTAGCATGGTGTGAAAATTATCCTAAAGTTTAGCTGCTTAACACAATACTTAATTATGTAACCACCCAGTTTTTGGGGTGGTTTTGGCTCAGGGTGTATTTTAAGAGGATTTGGTTAAGCTGTTGGCTGAGGTTGTAGTCGTTTAAGGCCTAACCAGGACTTGAGGATCTGCTCCCAGAAGGGTTCACTCACAGGGCTACTTGTGGCCGCAGGTCTCCGTTCCTCAACATATAGGCCTCTCACTGGCACCGCCCCTGATCTGATGGCAGGTTTCCCTACAGTGTGTGATCTTGGAGAGAGCAAGAAGGAAGAAAGCAAATGAAGTGGGAGATACTTCTTTTATAGCCTAGTCTCAGAAGCAACAGTGTCACTTCCTACACATCTTGTTGGTGTCTGCACCAGACCAACCTTAGTACCGTTTGAAAGGCAGCTGTACAATAGTGTGAATGGTAGAGATGAGAGCACTAGGTACTACCTTGACTGGCTACCATGGCACATACTTATTTTTATTTTCTCTCTTTTTACTTCTTCCTCCTCTTCTCCATCTTCTTGTTTTTCTTCTTGTCTTCCTATATTTAGTATGTAGCAATGCTTTGGGACTAAAATGAAGCTTCTCTCTAACTGGAATTAGCTGCTGATTCTGTTTCTGACAATAGTCCAGCTGCTTCTGGCCTAAGATATTGTTGCATGTTTCAAAGAGCCCACCTAAGTGTGGCAGGACCAGGATTACTGCTTCCATTTTACTTCTTACTTAGAGCTAATTATTTCAGCAACACTGAAGCCCTGATGGTGGTGTCAACCCCTAGGTAGCCCCATTCCTCCCTCAGCCTCTCTTCTAACCTTTGCTAACTTTTTAGTTGATAAGAATGAGGTAGTTTTTATCTAGGATCTAATTGTTTTTGTAGCCATATAGCTTGAAAAATTTTTTTATTCTTAATCTTTCCCTCTCCCTCTCTTCTCTTGCCATGATTTTTTTTGGTCTTTTTGAGTCGAGTTTTGCTATACAGTTCAGGCTGGCCTTGACCTCACTTTGTGGCCCAGGCTGGTCTTCTCTACCATGAACTGTTGCTCCTGTGCCATGTGCCACCCCACCTTGGAGCCAGTCAATTATAGACTGCAACCTTTACAAACTGTGAGCTAAGTAAACCTTCCCTTCCTTAAAAAGAAAAAAAAAGTGTTATTATTGAAGAGTTTTGAATAAAGATGTGACAAATTCAGTTTTTTATTTTAAAAAAAGTCTCTCTAGTTGCCATGTGCGAAAAGGGTTGGAGAGAAACAAACCTGCAGGCAGGAAGCCCAGGTAGGAAGTTTCTAAAATAATCTGTGTACAACATGAGCATGGCCTGTTATAGTAAGAGTCATGGGAATGCAAACATATAGTTGGAATTAAGAGGTATACAAGTAATAAAGCCAGGGGCTCTAGAGAGTGATTAGATATTGGGGATGAAGATGAGAAGTGAAGGCTGAGGCCTTGCTTTCTGATACAGAAGGTGTCTGATATGGGCAGATGGAGGCTGATAGTTATACTCATTGCAATAGAGAACATCAGGTTTGCAAGTGGGGGAGTAAGTTCTACTTTATACTTATTGTGTCTGACACACTAAACATCCCGGAGGAAATGTCCAACAGGATGTTGGATGTACAAGACTGAAACTTAAGAAAAGATTTGTAACTATACACTTAGGAGTCATATGGCTAGAAAGTCAGGTAATGGAAATAGATAAGCTCACCCAGGAGGATATACAAGAAAAGCAGAGTCAAGTCCCAGATCCCGATACACAGTGTTTAAGGCTTGTAGAGGCAGACTGGGAAAGTGTGGGCAGAGAGGGAGAAGGGAAACGGAAGAGTGCTGTCATGGAATGCAGAGTGGGGGTGGGGAGGGCTGGCCGGCAGTGCCACGATTGTCCAGGGGCCAGAGAAGCTTAATCTGGATTTTGGAAAATTAAGTCAGCGATAATCTCAGAACAGTTTCAAAGGGGAGATTAGGGGTAGAAGTGTGGGGAGTGACGAGGTATAGAAATGAAACTGGCAATAGACAAGTCATTGAGGAGTTAGGTAATGAAATAAAAGGGAAGTGCTAATGAGAAAGGGCCTGGACATGGAAGGAATTTCTGGTTTTTAAGATAGAAAATCTTAGAGAAAGAGAAAGAAACATGTTCATTTCTTTTTACCCTTTCAGTGGAATATCTATTAGCACCTGTGAGCTTTGAGGAAAAAACTGTTATTAGAACTTTGATGGTTTTAAGAGCTAGAATGGTATAATTATAGTTTCTGGTAGCTGAGAGAAGAATGTGTGGGAGAGGAGTGAGACGGAAACAGGTCAGTTAGGAAGTGATTCAAATAATCATTCAACTAGTATTGATTGAATTCCTCCCTTGTACCAGGCACTGTCCCAGGTGCCAGAGAGCAAACTTGGTAAAAAAAATCTCTCCCCTTGAGGGTTACATTCTAGTGAGGACCCAGGAATACCGAAACATGAGTAACTGCTCTGATTATTATAGAGGATTAGAACTGCTGTGCAAAAAAGGAAAACTAGAGCAGGTATGGGGCATGATAAATGTGGATGGGAGGGATGGGGCAGGTCTTGTTGCAAGTGTTGTATTTGGGCAAAT